TCGTTCGTATTACTCGTTTTCTACCACTTTTTGTCCGCGCTTCAACAAGAAGGCAGAGAACGGCTTTGACGGGGTGACACACTCATACTGCCTGACACGTCAGCCGTCTGCAGCGAGTGCACAGTCCGGTGCGATGCTTGCCTACGAAGTCCATATCAAAATCTTTGAAGCGGGTCAATGAGTTCCACACCCTCATAAGGGAACTATAGGAGCTCATGTCGACATGATCTTCTGCGGTTCGAGCTTTTTATTTATAGGAGTAGTGAAGAAGAGGATTTTGAAAAGTTCCCCTGTGAGCTTAGAGTTTCACGTCGGTCACCTAATCCCGAGTTCCAGAGTGAAATGAAGAGGTATCCGTGAAAAGCAAACATTGTATTTTGAGGAGCAAGTGTTTCCGTACCAAATACTATAGAGGGCGTGCGCAGAATGTTAGGTGGTGAGATGAGGGTTGTTTCGAAAGAACGTTGACACTTGGTTTTGCTTTGAGGCAGAAGTGCGCTTACCCAAGTGTCTCCGGTCTTACCCAGAAGCTCTGGAGACTTCTACAGACTTTCAACAAATTTTGCTCCCACAATATTTTGATTATCCTGTTTTCTGGAATACAAGGCGCACCCATGTACAGGGCGCATCTTACAATCTGTTGGCTTCCTCCGGGCTTCCTCCATTCACTTGGCTTTTTGTTCATTTGTGCGTTTGTTTATGCTTTTTTTGTTCGTTCTAATCATTATAAGTGATCTTTATTCGACAAGAGGTGTTTGGACATTGGTAGGACAAACTAATAAAAAAAAGACGAGAAAATTATTGCTGTGTTGTCTACCAACTCTTTGCGGGCATTTTTCACGCGACTATACGAAACGCGCCTAAAACCCTAGAAAATAAGATGACATCACTCTTTGGGAGCTTTATATGTTTCCATTTCAAAGATATTGCGATTGCCAAGATTTCGCTCTGAAAGGGGAGAGGGCTTTTTCACCCGCTGTTCTAGATAGGGGTCACATGGATGCTTAATGCCCTTTCGATCACCGTCCACAGACATGGCAAATCAGATGCATGTAATCACCACTCTCAATGACTCTCTAGCATTTGATTTTCTCATATTTGAGGCAGCTTTTATGCAAGCAATATTCAGCAGCAGTTTTCCTATCAATTCATTTTTAAAACCTGTGCATTATTTCGGAAATCGCACAAGATTTATTGGATATTTGCTAAATGGAGATTTTCAGAGTTGAATGTGGTTGTGGCTGGCTGTGCTGAGCCCTCTATGTCTCGGAGCTCCTCGTACATCCAAACCATGCGATGAAGATGGCGCATCAAGCACAGTCGGATATAAAGTCGCATCAGAATTACTCACGAAATCCATAAATTTCTCGGTATGTTACGTTTTTTGAGGTGTAGTGGGTAAACTTACTGAGCAGGAATATTCTAGAACTATCCACGGACTCGCTATATTCCAAACATATTTTTAAGTGTTTCTTTCGAAAGAGCTTGCGGCTCATTTGCAAATGTAACTTTCCCCTAATCGGT